TATCAGAAAGGAAGCGCTGTGCGGAAGTAATTATACTCGTACAAGTATTGTCGTGGAGATGGTAAAATGAAAATGTGTGGCCGTTATTGATATCTTATTGGGAATCTACAGTTTAATATTGATAAGGTTAATGGTAGCGTTTAATGAAACCGCATGTCTGCAGTTCGGTATTTCAATAACCCAATGTATAATGAAAGTCGAGATATTCAGTTGATTACCTTAGCGTGTGCTTGTTGGATAGACTCGGGGGTTGTATTGGTTATTACCTCCTTGAACTCGTTCCATCTGCTGGAAACATTTTTGTGTTTCTATGTAATTTTTATGCGTGACATAGAGGATCGACTTGCAGTTATATGACGCAGTTCAGATAAATTTTTATCAAAATACCCACGATGTTGCATGAATCTTCATCTGTCGTGAGAGCTTGACATATAAGCTGCCACGCTTGAGGACGCGGATGATGATGATAATAATAATAATAATAATAATAATAATATAATAATAATAATAATAATAATAATAATAATAATAATAATAATAATAATGACGATGCAGATGGTGATGATAATGACGTTGACGATGATGATGACGACGACAATACCAATATGTGGATTCTTACGTTCCAGAACCACGATATAATTATGAGAGACGCTGTAGCAGTTATAATGAAGGCAAAATTATATTCACAACTCAACACAACATACCAGTTATGACCAATAGACATTGAATATAACTGTACACTTTTTTACACTCATTTACATGCGTGATTGGTCGATATCACGAGTGATTTACGGTAACATACATCGATCCCACTGCTTCGTCCTCTCATCGTCGTTCACTTAGTGGACATGCTGTGTTTTTTTTCACATAGGTTCTGTTTACTGTGTTGTGATACATGAGAGCTTGTACAATTTATATTAGTGCTTTACAACTAACTATGGCACCGTTCGGCTTGAATGCGCGCACGTTGACGCCACATTTCCATCGCGACCAACGCTCATGATCATGATTAAATTGTTGTGGTAGCTGAAGTTGTTAACATGTGGAGCACATGTGAGAGCAACTCGATACGTCCTTGCAGTGCCAGAGTCTGAACATTACTGAAGTTTTTGTTTTGTTTTGTTTGTAGCGGTTTAGTATAAGCGACGCACCACATGGTCGCGAATCGAGCAGCCATAGGTTTGATTTGCCGGTGGCAGTTTTTAATAGTTTTTTTTTCCTTTCTTCGCATTCTTTTTATCACACAGCCGTGACGGAAATACGCTGCCGATATCTTGATTGGCATCAGCATAAAACACTTTCGTGCTAAAAAATATGTAATGTAGCTTGCACTAGATGAGTAATGATAAAGCGACAACAGAGCTGATGGGCACATATAGGCATATAATCCTGGATATCACTGTTCTTTTTTTTTCGCTTATTTTTGCAGATTTTGCCAAGTTGGACGAATGCAGCAGTCTCGTCAGCTTATCCGAGAATTTGATTTCCGTAATCAGCGCACATTCGTTTATTAGGACTCGAAGTTAAGTTCGTTCGAAATTTAGACTGCGCAGTTTGAACTCATTGCCCGAGAATGTACAGGGAAGTACTTCAAGAGCAACTTCTGCTCTAGAGCTAGCATATAAACTCGTAAATTTAATTTGTCGGGGAAATGGGAGTGCCGTACATTTTCTACAGCGCCAGGGGTGCGGCTGTTCTGCAGCACCCACATAGTAAACCAGAGGTTACCAAGTTTTGAGGCACCCGGTACCCCACATGGCAGGCACCTGGAGTAAGTCGAGTTGCTGATACAAAAAAAAAAAACTCGGCTGATTGGTAATAATAATCATTCATAATCGATAGACAAAATAAAATTTACCTATAACCAATAGAATAGGTAAATTATCAATATTAGTCATAATTTATGCGGTTAAGAGTAAAGACGTAGTACAATACCAAATGGAAGAGACCTTTCTTTTTACTTGTCTAACGTCACTTCACGTCAAAACTGCTATGTCGGCCGTAAAATAGGAAATGACAAGGGAAGAAAGGAAGGAAAAGGGGGGGGCGAAGTATGATGTCGTGCCTGGGGCCATATTATACTTCCCCGCGGGCCCGCATGCAGGAGGTTGCTGACCCCTGTATACTGAACTTTATGTGGGGCCACATCGTATTATCGATTTACTTATGTATACTCTGTTGTGCCGTTACTTTGCCGGCCACCGACGGTAGATTGTCGGTACGCGAAGCAAGATTCCTAAGCTGGGTGCAACGACCGCGAAGTCACATTTCTGATGTGATGTGAACTATAAAGACCCGCGCACTTGCAGTGCCACCTGTCCGCCATCATCTTGATTTCGTCAAACCGGACTTGACCTTTCCGGGTGTGAGTCATCGACTCCAAAATAGGAGCAGTAAATGACGTAGCGCGTGGTCCTACATCGACGACCGGGTATTCTCCCTTGGAAGTCCAGGTGTGGTTATTATGTGTCAGCAAGTGGTGCTGGATTGGTAGACTTTGCCACCACGGGGAGAGCAAAACGGGGGTGGGGGGGAGGAGCGGACCCCACTATTCCCATTTATTCAGCCGCACCGAAGAAGGCCCTGCTTGTTCTTTGAGAGTTGAGACCATCAACATGTAAATGCGCTGTGTGTAAAGTATTCAACTCGTCCTCATGACTGTTCTGAGCTCCAGAGCCACACGTGTTCGCACTGGCCACGCAACCCCCGTCCTAGCAGTTGTGGAAGCGGTGGGACATCATGACACTTCATATCTAACAACTCCAAACAACTCAGTTTGCGACAATGCATGATGTGAGCTGGTAAGTGTACAAGCTGTGGTTTACGTGATAATGCATGTTTTTTATAGCTACCTTCAATTGGAGATAATCCATCCTAACGGAGAAGTAGGCAGAAGGGTCATTTGACAAAGGGGCAGTTAGCACAAAAACAAGGGGGGGAGGGGGGACCCTTTAGCTTTGCCTTTAAAAGTTTAAAGGGATAGCGATATTCTGTTCCTAGTGCGTACTTCAAACACGTAGTGTATGAAATATTTTCGAACTTGCTATGAGGCCACTACGTGGCTTTAAGTGTACAGAAACCTGTGTGCCTTTTGTAGAGGGTAACTGGCTTTGAACCACGAAATCATTATTATATTCCCATGTTTTGACAACAGATGCAACGTACACTTGAACCACGCATTATTACGGCAGTATTCCATGTGGTATTGTGAATCATGTACACAGGACGCGTGTGTTTGTAAATTATAGAAGATATTTTCACTGCATTTCCAAACAGAGGACGTTCTTTGCACTGCATTTACAAGCATAGGCGTGATTGGGTGGTAGAACACCCACTTGACACGCAAACGACTAAGGTTCGATCCCCAATGAGAGCCAGAATTCTCGATTCTGGGTCTGAGTGGATATTTTTGATTTTACGGTCACGCAAAGATGATTTTTCGCTCATAACCGCCAACACCGACGCCGGGTTTTCTGCGAAAGGAGCTCTTTAACGCTATCGCGTTAACAGTTCTTTTTTTATTAAAATGTCGTGCTCTTTAATCGGGGTGGATGAATGACATATTTCGGTTACCACTGCGCGAAATGATGCGCAGCTAGAACGAAACATTATTTGGGGCTACAAGTTGCCATGTACGGCACGGCCGCAGCGGTAGCGCAAGACAACGATCATAAAAAGAGTGGCGCGAAAATACGGCACGCAAGGAAAAAAAAAGCAAAGTCGGCCAGCTGTTACTACTTTACTAAGACTACTTTACTAAGACTAGGCCAACTTTACTAAGACTATGATGATAAATCCTTCGAGTTTAATGCGGCGGGTATGCCTCTCGACCGTGGCAGCTGCTTTTAGATGACGGCGAAAACGCCAAGTAATGGAACTTGATAGGGTTAAATGTAATGCGGATCCATTTATTATGCAGCGTTTCTCATAACTCCTGCGCGCTGCGTCGAATAATGTTAGGAGGTAACATCAATTTGATGCATTTTTATGCGTTCATTCCAAGCACGCTGCCAGTCAGTAATCTTCTTTTCGGTGAGGGAGGGGGGAGGAGCGGCATTTGCTTAAGAAGCCTATGACAATTCCAGAAAAAGCACTTATTTTCGCTATTTTTGCGGTGAAATGTTCCGTCCACAAAAGAAATCGGGGTAGGGTGGGCGGGTGGAGGAGGACAGGCTTTAAACTTCTCCGGCGACGGGCTTGGTTATATCGAGTTGCTTTGCGTAGAGTGTGATGGTAATACAATGACAATTTCTGTTACAGTTTGCAAGGCCACTTGACGACATTGCACGGAAAATAAAAGCTACCTGTTGACGGTTTCTCTCTCTCTCTCATAGATATATATACAGACTTGATGGCCTGTAGTGTTGGCGTTATTCTAGCTTTAAAGTGCGGACCGTAATTGGAACATTAGAATTGGCAACATCGCCCTCGCTCTCTGCCGCTGAGTCATCTAGTTGTTCGACGTGCCACGATCCATGGCTATTTCGGTAGCTCTGCATGACGCTTTTCCATGCAACTTGGAGGCCAGCTGTGTGTGTCCAATCACAAATAAACCTTCTCTTTGGAGCGAAATTTGTTTTTACTTTTTCTGACGCTTTTGTTTTTGTTGCTTTATTTAATTAGGACAACGTTAACAGCCGAATGCCTGGTCAGGAAGGTGAATCACTTATTCAAGCGGTGTCATTGCAATCCATGGTGTAATTACTCCCAACCGTGCCTTTCAGTTCCTGGCATACGTTAATCAATAAGGGCTGCGCTGCAGCCGCCTATAGCCGGCTACACGACGTCGCTTTTGAATTTACTGCCAGACTGATACCTTAGACAGCTGGCTTTCGCGAAGTGAATTGCCCAGAGGCTGTCTCTTCTGTGTGGTGTCATTGTGTTCTTGCTGTTGGGTGTGTCAATTGTTCGCCCTCTGTGGAGCACAGTGCCTCATGCAATACGACCGGGCTTGGTACTAGAGCACTCATTACAGAGTCTTTCTTGCATAATGTGTCCAGGGAGCTGGAGATCCTGTTCAGCGCAATCGAGTCTCGCATCGGACGCTGCGCTGACTCGGAGAGGAACCGTCTGGGCCTGCTGGTCGAGAGTGGCCGCATGACAGCGGAGCTCAAGTGCCGGGACGCTCTCGACAGCGGTGAGGACGCCCGCTTGCGCTGGCCACGTAATCTGTCCTCGGAGCCAGGGTATCGCGTCGAACGCTTATAGAAGTTTGGGATGACTTCCTGTCTTTCCTCCTCCTTCTCCTAGGCATGTTAGCTGATTGGCATTCTCTCTCTTTTTTTAGAATACAATCGCCCTATTGCATTAGTGACGCAGATAAAACGGCAAGGATGCGAGTGCTGGCGAATGCAACGTATAGACTTGCCATATCCCCCTTCCCCCTTTTTCTATGACACTGTTGGTAATCAAGCAAAACCGGGGGCTTATTTGGAAAGCAGAGGGAAGTTGATTCATTCTTCCGACGCTAGGCTACCTTTGTTGTCTGAAACCCGGCGCGTAGCAGTACTGGGACCCATTGACAGGCATAGCATTTGATTTTTTTTGTTTGCAAACCAAATGTCAACCTACTCACTCGTCACGTCACAATTGAGGCAAAAACAGAAAGAAAACGAGTGCACTTGATTGTTGGGTTGAGTTCGCTTTGCTGACAGTTCTGTGCCGAAGGAAAAGCTGAAGAAAAAATGTAAAGAAAGCGAAGACAGCCAGCCATCCTACCGCCGACGTCTGGGTGCTCTCGTGATGGTCTCCTCATCTTGGTGTAGACCAAAACTGGTATGGTAGGGTAAAAGGGTTTGCTAGTGATGGCATGATAACGTGAAAATCATGTCACGTACCTCATCAAAACATCTTTTCCAGACAGGTGTGACACATAGCCGTGTGCCACAGACCACGGTATGTGGGTCTGTTCTCAGGTGATTGGCAACGTATATCTGTCCAGACAAGCGATGACTAGAACAGGCATTGGTGATTAAAGTGTCAAAGGTGTTAACAAAATCGACACAGGCACCGTCGACCCAACGAATTCAAATAAGAAAAAAAGCACAATTCCAGTAGGAATCGAACCTGAGCAGTCTGAGTGGTGGTCAGGTATTTTGCCACAGAGCCACGCTAAGCATACAAACTGCTTAGGAAAAAAACTGTATGTGGCTGCAGTGTCTATGCAACGTCAATTGCAGTTCAGTTTCTAGTATCTAATTTTATAGAATGTAATAAACATTACACGTGTGCTCCTGCTATAGCCACGTCATGTTGGGTTAGCGAAAGTTGTGATTTCAGCATGAACTACGCTTCTATAGCAGCCTAACAAACATTACATTAGTATGCCTACTATTCATCAAGCTATATTCAAGCGTTTCTCGACCCCGGAGGAATACACAAACAAATGTTACGTACAATATTCGCGTGATTACACCATAAAGTGCAGTTTGTTTCAATAATACTTGCGTCTTGGCTCGAACTAGGGCGCTGAAGTTACTTCAGACGATAAGTTATAACCTCTAAATGCCAGCGCAGTCAGTGTTTTTGGTAAGCCCGTGATGTGCTCACAACTACAATCCTTACAGACTGCGCCGATCCACCTCTTGACCCTTGGCTCAAAGACAAAAACAAAATGCAGCACGGATACTAACTCGCTGACTGCTTCGCATGAAATCGATTGCCACTAGACGTGGAATCTGTTGTTTTGTTTTATTTTAGTAACATTTAACCGCAAACCATTCTACTCTTGCCAAACTCTGATATCGAGAAACGAAACTTTCTTAATAGCCTAGCGTTTCATTACATGCTCGCTGCAGAGCCACTGTTTCTCTTCTGTTCACAAGTATCTAATCAGATAATATTTTTTTTTCCTGACCTGAGGTACGGCGAAAGAAAGAGTCGCTTAGTTTGAACTCACTGTAAAATTATGTGTGCTGCACTACATGTATGCTAAAGGTAAAACCGGCTTGCCAGGGATGATGGGGGTTCTTCCGCGTGGAAGTGCCTCTTCAGACTCCGAAATCTTGATATCTACTGAATTTTGAAAGCTCGTGTTTAAATATGCAAAAAATCTAATTACGCTAAGTTTCTTCAGCAGAAGCATCACGTTCATGAATAAAAAGAGATGGAACACCATTTCACTGTTTCCAGAGCTCCTATTTCGGACTTGGCGATGAACTGTTACGAAAAGGGAAATTGAAATAGTCAACTTGGCAGAAACCACTGAGCAGCTGAGGGATAATCACCTTAACCATCATGTGCACTACACTAAAATGAACAAAAGTAACAGTAGATGCAATTTAATACCACGTATTTACTTTAGTTCTCCTTGTTGACCGTAAAAACGTGCTCGCCTGAATTAGGACTACTATGGGATTTGTTTTAGTGGCGTGTGAATAATAAAACTTTTCAATCAAATTATTGTTAGTCAGTAGCTTGATAGATTGATATGTGGGGTTTAACGTCCCTAAACTACTTTATTACTATGAGAGACGCCGTAGTGGAGGGCTTCCGAAATTTCGACCAACTGAGGTTCTTTAAAGTGCCTACGGCTATGACATTTAGCTCTCCTGGCCGTTTGGATAATAAAATCTATACTCAAATCGGTATGACATAACACGGCTGTATGACGAGCATAAGTGAACAGTCATACCATGAATATCGTGACATTATTGTCATGAATGTCATGATATACATGTTGTAGTCTTGCTGCTCCAGCGGTGGTTTCCTTCACATGACATATTGTAAAACTGGTATGGTATGAGATCACTGCATGGCGAACACAAGTGATGCCCTCACGTGGAAATCATGACATGTGTGTCATGCAAGTTATGACTACACGCTCATGGTGTGCTCGTGGTCGTTCCGCTGACTTCACATACATCAAATCTGGTGTTACGTGATTTGAATGGATGATTAAAGTATGTGATTGGTTCAAACATGATAATCAGGACATGCATATCATGTAACATGACTACATGCCATGCTCATGATGTGCTAGCGGCCAATTCGCTAGCTTTACTTATACCAAATTTAGTATTACGTGATGCGAACGGACAATTAAGGTAAATGAAACGCCCGAACATGATAATCATAATATGCGTGTCATGTAAAACATGACTACATGCTACGCTCATAGTGAGTTCACGGCCATTTCACTAGCCTCACATATACGTAATTCAGTGTTACGTGATGTGAATGAATCACAAAGGTATATGACTGGTGCAAACATGATAATCGTGATATGTGTGTCATGTAGGAGCATGACTACATATTACGGTCATGATGCGCTCGAGCCCGTTTCGCTAGCTTCACACATAATGAATTTGGTATTACGAGACGAGAATAGAATATGAAGATAAATGACACGTTCAAACAGCATAATCATGACATGTGTGTCACGTATAACATGACTACATGCTACGCTCAAAGCGCTCTTACGGCCGTTTTTGTTTTTCAAAGCGCATGATGGTTTATGATGACTGCAAACGGATGTCCGTATATGTACGGACGGGATTTCGTGATGGCCCAGAGGAGGGCTAAGCATTCAAGGCGGACAAAAAGTACAACTTCAGAGGTCCCGGAGTGAAAACTGTCGGTGGGACCTCCGACAACAAAACATAAATGGTGGTTTACAGGAAACTAAGCGAACAGTGAGTCATTTATGTTATAAAATTTCGATAGCTTTGGTAATAAAGGGTAAAGTATTCATAAACAATAAAAAACTAAAAAGTCAGCCATGACAATCACAAACGTAAATGGTAAAGTAAGTCAAATAGAAGAAATCACAAAAGTTAATTCAAACAAGGAATAGCAGCTACACATGAGAACAAGTATCAAAATGGGGCAAAAGTGAAACACTTGGAAGTAGCAACAGCACATTGCGAAGTAGTAGAGTAGACAAAACCTAGTGAATTCTATGTGTCTAACAAAGTGTTAATGAAATGCCCCTTAGTTTTGCGTTTGAATGAGGATAATGAAGATGACTTTATATATTGATGGCGATGAATTCCGAATTGAAATGCCTAAAAAAGCAAGAGTAAATTGCCCATAATTTGTTCTATTTTTAGGAAGGAGTAGATTAAGTCGCTTTGAAAATCTTGTATTATTGTTATGGATGAAGCTGGAGCGAGTAAAACCTGGAATATTGAGATCGGTATTTATAAGACGAAACATTAGTAGTGACACCTTATGATGAAATAATATGCGCAAAAGTAGAACATTTACACAACGGAATATGAGAGCAGAGGGAGATGTATGATTTTGAAATGTAACCTATTGAAATGCCTGATTTTGCAAGATTTCTAGATGATGAAGATGTGTGTAATATGTATTACCCCAGGATGAAAGCCAGTATAAGAGGTGACTGTGTATGTACGCTTGGTATAAAGACTTGAAAATGTCCAGATTAAGAAAAAATAGCAAGTTTTTATAACGATGTGAAGTCCGAATGGGATTTTTTTGAATAAGTTATTTTGTATGATAGCAAAACTTCAGATTGTCATCGAACAACACCGAGAAATGTTGTCGTCGTGGATCTTGATATCACATCATTATTTAAAGAAACTGCAATAGGATGAATGAGCAGGTTTTTTGTCGAATGGAATAGCATAAATGCTGTCTTAGAAGGGTTAATTATCAGCTTGTTTTTTACACACCATGAATGAACACCAGCTAGGTTGGCGTTCAGTTTATTCTGCAATGAGCCTGGACTGTTATCAGATACGAAGATGGTGGTGTCATCAGCATGAAGTGGACAATATGCAAGCGTTATTATTTGTGGCAAATCATTGATGAATATTAGGAATAAAAGTGGTCGAAGTATTGATTCTTGTGGAACACCTACATTTATAGTCTTTGATGAGGAGAGGACACCATCAATTTGGACTGTGTAAGATCTGTCTTTTAAATAACTACGAATTAATTCTAAAGGTGGTCCAGAAATGCCAAAACGCTAGCTTTATGTAAACCAAATCTGGTATTACGTGACGTGAAGGGACGACGAGCACAAATACCAGGCGCGAACATGATATTCTTGACATGGAAGTCATGTACGGCATAATTTACGTCCACCTCGTAACGTTGTGCCGATTTTATTGTGTCAATTCAACCTTCCTCGTTCGTGCTTTGCATATCATCGATTCTTAATGTACAGTG